AGAAAACCGTGGCATTGAACCCTTTGGTACAGGGGGTGACACACACACACACTGCTGAGCAAACTTGAGCGCACTACAAATTACAAATTACCACGCCTTCAATTATTGCCAGTTACTTTCTTGTGGAGGTTGCTTGATAGGCTCCCTTTGCAATAGACTTCACTCTCTCTCTCTCTCTCAAAGAGACGCCCAACTGCAAACGTCTTCACTCTCAAGGCCGGAGACCAAGGGGGCAGTGCTACGGAACCGGAGACGAGAAGCAGCGAAAATGCAAGTCCTTCAAACCGTAGCAGGGATAAGACGAAAAGGCCTGTGCAGGCATCAAAAGGCGGAAGAATAAGCTAGCAGCTAGGCAGAACGCAACCAAATGCGGGGCTCACTTAACTTAGGTGATCAGGAGGCGAAGGCAACCCAACCAGGCACCATACTCAAGTACGTCGGTCTTGTGCCGCCGCAGCCGCGGCCCCTGCCTGCTGCAGTCCGTGCAGCGAGATGGCAGCCCGCTCAATGGGTCCCACCAGGGAAGGGCCAAACGCCTGGCCCTGCCAGTCGTCCCTGGTTTGCATGGTGGTCAGCCAAACAAAGTGAGAATCATCGATCAACAGGTCTTCGAGCATGGGCCATTGAAATCCGCACCAATGGATATGAGGACACAACGCCATCAGGGCACCGATCACTGTCTCCTGTGAAAACCTGATGGGCACCGCCCGGACTGGGCGCAGGCAGTGGTAGAGCGGGCGGACACGTCGGTCCGACTGTGAGAGGTCACTCTAAAGACCTTTCGCTCTTTCTAGTCCTTCATCTGTCTGTTTTTTCATGTTTGCATTGTTTAGCCAAATCTCCCCGATCCTTGACACACACACACACACACCCAGGAACGTCTTTGGCCCAGCAGCTTTGATCTGCACTTTGGCCAAGATCTTCAAGCGAGTACCTGTTTGTCTGAGCTTTGAGACCAGCATACGCTGGCTATGACCGGCTCTGTCATTTTTGATGGCTGGCTGTCTTCAACTGACTATGCAAACACAGGACACACACACACATACACTCCTTGGCGCACAAACTCCCTCGGCCCACGCATGCACCAAGCCAGCGTTCATCTTTCGAACGCCTGACCATTTCTTATTCAGCAGGCTCAGACTTACTAGTAGCTAGAAGCTACTAGTAACAAGGGCATCACTACAAGTAACAAGTGCATTACTAGTAGTAGCAGGAAGCTCTTTCGCCAAATTCCAACCAGGATCAACCAAGAATGTCTCCTAGTATGTCGCCTCGGGCCGGTGAGCTCGATGAGCCTCGCCATGGGCTTCGGGATCTCCACCAAATTAAAACCACGTAGGACGCCCTGCAGGCTCGGCACTTTTTTAAAATCCGCACTGTATGAACATTGAAATGCTGTATGCTAATATATGATAATGATATCTGATATCTCTCTATCAACTCCTTCAAGGTCATAGGGTTGCCGCGGTTGCCCAAAGCAAAAGCGCGAGACTTCAACATGTTACGACAAAAAAGCTGAAGCAAGTCCTTCAAACCGGTGGCTGACTTGTCATAGCAAAACAGACTCGGTATGAGGTATGTATTATATATCTGTCTATGTATCTACCTATTATGCCGTGTGAATTGTTTCACAGCCTTGGAGATGCCCAGGCCTCGCTTGTGGCCCACGTGAAGAGCCAAGGGACGCCAGGCCACCGCAACAAGGAATCCAGGCGCCCGGATATGTCTAAGTCACGGCGCGGCAGCAGCTCCTTGGAATTATGTTGAGCACAGAAAACTACCAAATTAAGTTAGAGATATACTGTATATATACAGTAAAATATATTAATATATATACATGTTGTTTATAATATACATGTTGTTTATATATTAATATATATACATGTTGTTTATAAATGTATGTGGATAAACCAGTCGAAAATAGCAATGATGGATCGCTGGGGCACAAGTCTTCCCAAGTGCCAAAAATACCAGGGCAGTTGACAACCGACTAATGCTGTTGCAGCAATGGCTCGCAAGAGTTGTCAGCGCAGGTTTGCTGCAGCTGGACAACATGATCCTTGTCATCATCAAAGGCACCACTGCTGCGCAAAGCCCAAAACTCCTCTGCCAAGGGGCAATGCAGGGCATACGACATTCACAAAGATGTTTACAGTTTACAATTGTTTTTAAAGTAAGCACGTGCTCCTTGAATTATTGGTTGGCGCACCCTGTACATTTCAACTATATCGTTGCCTCCCCATGAATTTGTATGCTGCGCCACGGGCCACCCTTCGGCTGCCAGAGTCGTGCTGGCTTGCTGCCACCCAAAGGACAGGAAAGCAATTCCAAGCCTTGAAAGCTGCAGCGAACTCTGGAGAACTCTCTCAGCACCTTTCAAAATCAGTGTGTCATGCTTTCTCTCATGCACTCTTGCGATGGTGCAACCGAAGGGCCACTGGCAGCTAAAAGCCAAAGGGTGCAACTCCCTGTCGAAGCCTCCTGCCAGGTTTTTAATCCAACTCGCAGTAGCTAGTAGTAATGATTCCTTGCTGTGTGTCATGTTGCAAATGCAAACGGCAACAAACTGTGGGATTTGCACAACATGCCCTGGCCATTTAAGCTCTTAGAAATGGAATCCTAAAACATCAATAAAGAAGGCAATTGCACACCGAGCAAGTAATGGCATTTGTTCGATTTCCACTCCTCACAGTCAACTGTGGCGCTTTGGAGGCCTTGGGCCTGGAAGTCCTCAGATCGGGCCGAGGAAGCCCCATGTAGCAACGGGAGGGGGGAAGTCAAAACCATCTTCAACAACCTTCAGCGTTAAAAGATCTCCGCATACATCTCAAGTCATCTATCTGAATTACTTTGTCTGGGTCATTCAAGATAGCCAGGAGCTTGCTCTTGCAGGTGCAGCATTGCAAACAAAAATCGAGACGTTGCACATGCTAAATACAACCAGCAGAATTACTGCAAACACAACCGACGGAAAAGCCAAGATGTTTTGCAGTGCATGTCTTGCAGGAAATCATGCGCATACTGTAGCAGTAGTACTGTATATGTCCTGCCTTCCATCAAAGGCACTACATATGGTACGTTTTGTTCTATACTCCAATTCTGCATATACTCGCACATAAATCAAGCAGGCACGAAATGGCACGAAGGTTCACCGTCCGAACAAAGTCTCAGCACAATGCAGTGTCCTGCAGTTGGCCGAAGAGGCAGCTGTCCACCTGAGCCTGTGTCGCCATACGGACTTAAAATGAGATAGATCTGCACGTGCTCTCCGTCCAACCTTTGACTCGTCATGACTGATTGGGGCAACTCCAACTCCAGGTTGAATTGGTTGCAGTTGATTGAAATCCAACACTATGGCGCCTGAAGTTGCTGGAGATTTGTCAAATTGTTCTCTGCAAGAACTTGCACGACGTACTTATCCAGGACAAACAGGGCATCTAGTCCCTGCATGTGGAGAGCAAAAAACAATAAAAAGTGCACAGTCTGAGTTCAATCTGATCAGCAAGCAAAGTTTTTCGCTCCGAAGCATCTGAGGCAAAAGCTGGATGGCACGCCAGCGATGTTGGGCGGGAGAAAGGCCCAGGCCAAGTTGTGAAGCTAACCTTCAAAGGTCGATCTGGTGAGATTTCTATTTACAATCAAAGGAGGAAAATCATAAGGTTTCTTGCTGTTTTTGAACTATAGGGGGTAGGCCGCTAGTAGAGGTAGGTAGGGGTAGGTAGGTAGCTAGTAGCTAGGTAGCTAGTAGCTTAAGTATACTACCGACTGGACGCGAGATAGCTCGCGCACTAATGATTTGGCTCCTAGATTTTCAGGGAAACTGAAGGTTCCTAAGTCTAGCTGTTCTTCGCACCTGACGCCTGACCTGCCGCGAAGTGCATACACCATCAATTCTTTGTAAATCATCGACAGAATGCATATATCTATATATATATAACCAGATATGCAATAAACACCACATATGCCATGACATGGAGGCTTGCCCAAAAAGCCTACAGTAAAATAACACTGAAGGGCCATAAAGACCTGATTCCTTTTTGATCAACAGCTTCAGTGCACAACCAACACAAGCTAGGCATTGATCGGTCCTTCACGGGCAAATGCTTTGCAAGGCTCTTGCGACCGACCACGGCATCATTCCCAGATATTCCAAGTCGAACGATCGCGCCACTTTGAGCTGAGAAGCTGGTTCTCCACGTGGAAGTGAGAAGGTGACCTCCCAGCACAAGGTCCGTTCAATGTAGCGTCCTTGCTCCTAGTAGCGATGCCAGGAGCCCCTAGTAGCTTCTTGTTGCTAGTAGTAAGGCTCTTTGCAAAATTTGAATGACATCTTGGCAAAGGATACCCGTTAAAGCCGCGAACATACAATTATAAACCACCACCACCTGCAAAACTCAATAAATATGTGGTTTCTTGCACATTTTGCTTGAACAAACCCAAGATTCCAAGATTTGGACAAAAATCAAGACTGTCAAGGTCCTTTAAAACATCACTATATAAAACAACTCACAACAGTTTGGCAAAGGATATTCCTGGACTCCTGACGAAAACCAAACATACGGTTAGAAAGCCCTGCAAATATCTGCAAATAATAGACATCGCGTTCAACTCCTTTCACTTGCCTTTTGACGCTTTTGAAGTTTGAGGTCGGAGGTGTATTGTACTCTAAGGCTCATTGCGGAGCGGGCAAAGTCTCCGCAAAAAAACATAATCTTACTGGGGAGGAGGCTTGCAGTTGTAATGCAAACAAACATGTTCAAGTTAATAATTCCTGACATGATCTTGGCATCAGCGAAATAGAAATGAACATACCACCATGCAACAAAAAACAGAAATCCTAGTCCCATCCAAAGATCAGCGCTTCCCATGGGCCTTGTGCCGTTCGTGCCCCAGCTGCAACCAGGCAGGGGTGGGGCTTAGGTCGGCCAACAAGGTCTGCTCTAAGGTGCTGGTCTTGTGGTGGTGCATTGCTTCGAAACTAATGAAGGCAATAATCCACACCTGATGAAGCGAAGGCAGAGTCCGACCGGCACAACATTTCAGGCTGAGTTCCTACCGTTGGAAGAGATGCCCTCGGCTCCCACTCTCCAGCCAGGGCCCGAGGCCCAGGCCAGACCTACGGTCCACGCAGCCAGCAGCACCAAGCTGCCAAGCTTCACTGTTCGCCAGGGCATGCGGCCCGTGGTGCTCAGCCGGCTGCGCTCTGCCCTTCTCTGCTCCTGCACAACTTGGATGGCATTCTGTGCCGTTGAAGCATGAACAACTGCATAGCACAGCAAGTAACATGTTTTGCTCGGGCCATGCGGAGGAGAGAGTCCGAGTTTCAGCAGAACAAAAACATATATTATATTTAGTGTGTGTGACCACAATTTTCTAGATGTGAGGTGATTTGCTATGATCTGAATTAATGGGATTCCATGAGGTTTTTGGCGGGCCTGCAAACAGTGTGCCTTAATTTTTGCACATGGAGTCTGATAGGTGCTTGAGTTGATGCTGATCAATGTTCACCATTCTGAACACCAAAATATCACCTCCTCTTGCTCTTCATCGTCACCATCCTGCCATGGTCAAGTCAGGATTGAAATGTCGTCACATCCAAATAATGCGAGCACACTGCCCGTCACAGCAACCAAGCAACAGTCCGGGCAGTTCCCAAAAGGGCCAGGTGTGAAGGTGTGTTGAGAATTGATTGTCCCATTCCTGGCCTGTAGCTGGGCTTGAGAGGCGGCTGGGTGAAAAGTCAAATCCACGCTCGGGGCGTCTGCAAGGACGTCCTCACTATCTCAGTCCCCAAACCCATCAGGCTCAGTCAAATTGAATGTGTCATAGATTGCCTACAATGCTCTGTATCTTGTGTAGGCCCAAGGAAAAACAGTGGACACATGACAAAACGTACAGGTAACGACGTTGGACCTTGCGCTAATGGGGTAAAAGGTCGATGTACATGAATGTACATGCGCCATTGGGTGTCTTTCTTGCCTTCGCGCAAGTGAAAGAACATGAAAGAACCATACTGCAATCTGCTGTTTGTTATGTTGCAAACGGATATACATGGGTTTGCTCCAACAAGCATCACTTGCTTCTGGCTCACCCTTCTGCTCAGGTTTCGAGGTTTCGAACATTAACCGTCAACCATACACATCTGAGAATATGACATCATCTGTGGCAGCGGCAGATCTTGCCCTGTTCCTGGCAAGGTGGCCTGAGTGCAAGTCGTGTGATGCTAACCACGGCACTCAAATTAAAAATTTTCCAAGATCCTTTCGCATCCAAGAGGCGCTGTCTCCTGATCATGCTCACCTGCTGGGCAAACCTGAGGAAAATGCAAACTCAATCTCATTTTGGGCATGGATCAAGCATAGTATATATAGTAAAGTATATACCGCAAATTCATGTAGGTTGAACACTACATGTCACTAGGGCCCTAGGGTGTGTGATGGCATGCCAGGGTGCCTTCAAGTCCTTCAAACCTGTTCTATAGATTTCTACAGTTGCATGTCATACTGTATTATTTCATGACCTTCCTTTCCCAGCCATTCGGCCCGATCGGCCCGCCCAGGGTACATCCCTGCCTGTTCATGTCTGTGCGCAAGCACAGGACGTCCACAATTCGACCAGAAGTGGGAGGCTCTTCACAAATGCATGTGCCGTCCTCATCAGTTCAATAATTGACAAAAGCTGTTGATGGTTTCCCACCTTTCCCGACGTCTTCGCTCAAGGCTGGAAACAGCCCCAAATCCTGCTTAAGCACACACCCACAAGTCACAGGTCCACAAGCCGCTCGGTCCTCACAATTTTGGAAGACCTGCATGGTTCGGCCATTGCCTCCGACACAGGCAATCAATTAGCCGGGCTTTGTCTCTCCAGGTTGCCATACAAACCATCATTACACAATACGTAGCTCTAATATGCTCCTGAACAAACACAGCTCCTGGTAGTAAGGCCAGGAGCCCCTAGTAGCGTCCTTGCTCCTACGGTTACCGTAGTAGCGATGCCAGGAGCCCCTAGTAGCAAGGGATTGGACATAAACCCCCAAAATGTTTTGGAGTGCGACGCTTTGACGGGATACGATGCTACGCAATGTGATGTTACATGCCGCCCAGGAGCTCTCAAGGTCCACACGCACCCAAACCACTTGAGATTCTTCGCTTGGAACCTGAGGAAGCTCAACGATTCAAAGAGATGAACGTGCATTACCTCGGAAGAAACGCCGAAGTACTCTTGAAAGTGGTGGATCTCTTAAAGCCACAGCAGCTGCCCTCCAGTTTTCTTCCGCGCCTCCACATTGGAGGAGGCTGGAAGATCTGCCTTTGCACTTGGCCACAACATGAGGAGGCCAAATGCAAAAACTGCTCGGTTGAGCCCCAACAACTGGAGAGCTGGGATTGGTGTTGCTCTCTGACCTTCAGCAACTGCACCATCCTAGCACCATCTTAGAACCTGGAGACAAGGACAATGCTCCGCCAAACGCCATCTGCCTGCACTTCGCCCAAGGTGGTCGGCAGCTGATTGAACTTGTGCCGGAGCAGCCTCGGACAAGGCTTGGCGGACGCCTACCACCGCCCGCTAAGCTACTGCACACACAAGGCACCGCTTCTCACTTGATTGAACAGGAGAAATAGCCTACAAGGTCTACAATCACCTAATCTTTAAGCAGGAGACACCTCCCTTCATTGCTTTCAGTGTTTCCGGTTTGTGCCTGAGGTCACATTCATCCTCGCTCAACATGGCTTGCACATTCTCCGAGGCAAACCGCGCCAAATCCTCGAGCTCATGCATTGCAATGGGTACCATGTTGCTCTAGGCAGCAAACAAGTTTTCGCCTTCGGTACATCTCAAATCTTCCGCACCACCGCCGACGTGTTCAACTGATAAACAGCATCTTGTAGTTTACCGATCACCCATCAGCTTGCAAATCAAGGTTTTTGAGCCTTCCAAGATCCACCTTGAATGGACTAATACACCTTCATCCAATTCCTTCTGAACCAGATCTTTCTCTTTGGTCAAGAAAACTAATCCCGGATCCGTCCTTTTCCAGCCGTGCTCGGAGCTGATGACATTTCCCAATAGCTTCGCGGAGTGCCTCTGCTGGCCTTGGCCAGGGTTGCATGATTGTTACAGTGTAATCCTCGGAGCAACGGCATTCATCTATGTCAGACAGATCGCTGTGCCTCAAACCATGGTATTGGAAGTTCAATGCACTACATGTGCAAACTGCAAGGGTGCAACCCACGCCTCTCTTGACCCAAAGTTTCCAACCGAAAGAGTCCCAAGGAAATAGTTCATTACGTGCTATGGCTTGTAAACTGTAAACTCTTTGGGTTCTTTATGGTTCTTTGTTGCGAGGATGTGGACCCCAGATTTTGCCCAATGGAACGACAGTCCATGCGCCGAACAACTCTGCGAGTGCACATGCGGTCAAGATGCAGCTCTTCAAGGCCTTCAATCCCTTCACCTTGGTCAAATGTAGGTAAAACGGGCTTGGAAACAACCAAGGGCGTCAAAAACGTCACCCAATCTTCAAAATCAAAGAGCCGGATTGCCCACATATCAAACTTTCCTTCGCATCAGAAAGGGGGAAGCGGATGGTAAAGGATTGATATATAATGGATGAGGCATGGCGTGATGCGAAAGGATTTGTGTGTGTGTCAAGATGGTGTCGTGTCATACAGTAATAGCTGTATTCTATGTACGTGGACGCAATCAATCTCGCAAAACATGTTGGGCTTCGGAATGTTGATATCAACTTTTTGGGCTTATGTGAGGTGAACTGGTGCGAGTTGAGTTGTGTGTGCGTTGGTGTGAGCGAGTTGGTGCGCAAAAGTTGCTGCCATGTTCACAGCACAAACCCTCCTGCTTCTCAGCAGCATGCCGCGGTTACACCGTTTCCGTGAGCCGATCGCCAGCACCGAGCGCACAACGCCTTTTGATGCAAGGCCGCGCCCCTACTGCATCGCACACCGACATCACACACACGCTGTGTGGCACAGGCTAGATACAACAGCAGCAAAGGTTGGTGTGAGTGAGTTGATGTAAGTGAGTTAGTGTTAGTGTTAGTGAGTTGCGAGTAAGTTTGGTGTATGTAAGTTGTTATAGTGAGGAGCTTGGGAAGACCATAGAAAAAGCAAGAACCCCGCACTCGCATGTCGGGCAACAATCAAAGGCAGCTGAGACGGCTTGGATTGCTACCCTCTTGAACGTGACAGCTTCTGCAGCTAAGTCCAACACTGACTGTGGACAGCTGACGCTCTCGTGTCCTAGCCACTTGCGGGGTTGCATCCTCGTCATCTTGATCCTGGCATGAAGCGAGAGGCCCTTATGATGAACCGCTTCAAGGATTACTCCTCACACTCCAGGTCTGCAATTGTCTACGCGACATTTCTCACATGTAATCTTTTACGTTTCCCAACGATCTTTTTCACGATAAGGGGATAACTCGGCGCATCATCAAGGATCTCAAATCTTGGCTGCCTGTAGTACATCTTTAATGTCTGTAGAGCGTGAGCAACAGGTGGAACACAACATGACTCCAACTGTCTAGGTGCTCTTTCAGTTGCTTCTTGCTTCTTCGGGAATGGGTGAAGGGACTGAGCATACGTGCGCAATGCCAAGGCCTCCACTGCTTCAGCTAGCCATCCGAAAACATCCAGGAAAAGAACACTTCCTCAGGAAGATCCAAAATCTTAGGCTTCCAAGGCGATAGGAGATTTGCTGATTTGGCTCCATGTCAATCGCCAAGACTCGGAAATTTGTGGGCAGTGCCATCTCATCATCTTGAACCCTCGCTTTCGCAACGAACCTTACATGGAATAGCATGGACCATGGATATCATTGCGCTCACGTCGGCAACCGCGTGACCATTCCAGGCTAGATTGTCAATGGCATTAATGATGCCAGTTTGAGGGCCAGCGGCACTGTGAAGACAATCCAAAGGATATGCAAGAAGAAAGCAATGGGCACGAGAACGCGGTACATCATTGTCCTCAAACGCTGCAACGCAAAGGAACCTAATCGTGCCGTAATCCTGCCAACGCCATGTTGAGAATCAGTTGGAGACATGTTACATGTTCATCAAATGGCATGGCTAGTCCCTACCGCCAGTGTCACGCCAAGCTTCGCAAAGCCAGCTGCTGGCAGCGGGACTTTGCTAAATCCACGATGCACGCTAAGGCTCCTCAGGCTGAGACCGGTGGCCCGTGACAGAAGTGACAGAATGCGTGTGTATATACTGTATATATATGTATATATGGTACCCCCCAAAGACCTACCTTTTTGTCTGGGGTGCCATATATATATAGATACATACGCATGTTTGAAGTGTCATTGATTGATATTGACATATAAGTTTTTAAATTCTGAGTTTATATATATATAGAGAGAGTTGTATATTTTAAATAGTTTTCAGGATACCTGTATTTTTCCCAGGGGTTCACCCTCCCCCGACCCCCGCGCTAAAGATTGATCATGTGCAACAAAAATATCAACATAAATTAAAGAAGTCAAACACATAAATATACAATCTCTATGCCTCTATGCGCAATGACGTATGCTCCCCACGTGCATTTGTTCTATCCCTTGTTTATTGGTTGTCTTCTTGTAGACTGCCGAAACCAAAGCCCAAAACAAAAAAGACACCTCTGAGGAGAATCTTTGGTTTCGGCCTGATAGATGTTGTTTCATTGTTTCTTTTGCTTTTCATCAAAGTTGTGCTTTGTTGGGGGGGTTGTTGCTGGAATTGGGTCTACGTTCGACTTACTACTGCCACCGCAGCTTTTTGCCAAGCTCTTGGTTTTCCAAGGTACTGTTCTACCTGAACCGGTTTTATTGCAATATTTTGTTGAATCACATTGTATTATGTTACGCCATTTGTCAAAAGACTAATTTTTCTACTTTTAACGCGCAGTCATTCATTCAACTTATCACAATCGACCGTATCATTTGATACTGTCCTTTTATCAACCTGAAAAAATTCAATTATTACATAGATGTTGATGAATGGGTGTAAGTGCGCTAGTAACATCAATTTCAGTGATTTTCTTGGGAATGTTTGTTTTCAGCTGGATATATCATTCCGCAGGGCACTACTCATTCCACATGGCATTCAATAGCTAGATATTACATTAGTTTCATCTGTCAAAAGTTCATTCAATATACATTCATTGTTTACCATTGATTTTGATATGGCCTAGGTTGTCAAAATACATTGTAAGTCCTTCAGCTAAACCAAATATTGTTTTATCATCACTACGCATTAAACTTTGGTATGTCTTCCGCATTTTCGCATCTGAAAATTATATATCTTGCGTATGAGACCATTGGGAAAGTCTGTCACCTTAATGGTCGCGTTTAATTTAATGTTTATATATAACTTAGATAGCCGACAGTGAAACTATAAACTATAATAGGCTCCTTGATGTGTAAAGGTTGCTTGATACCTTAAGGTCTCCCTCGATATATATATATAATCATAAAGAACGAACTCAACAAAAAAGAGCTTCTTCTCCTTCCCTACTTCTACTCAATCAATGCCAACATAAGATCTGAACATATTATCTCAACCCTCTGCTTGTTCTTTCCTGCTTGTATATCTATCTACTGTATAATATTGACTCAAGCATGCATGCACCAAGCAAAAGGTAGATCTTTGGGGGTAGAATGGCATATATACAGTTGCCATACACTTGTGCGTTTCATGCATATACCTGTCAAGCGCGCATTCCAAAGATGTTCTCACATCATCGGTAACTATGCATCAAATAGTAGCAAGGACGCTGCTAGTAGCTCCTGGCAATACTACTAGTAACAAGAAGCTACTAGGAGCAAGGGCATCACTACTAGTAACAAAGGGCATTACTACCAGTAGCATTCTTGCTACTAGTAGCATTACTACAAATTTAAATCACTTTTAATTAACATAGACAAAACCAATACATAGACATAATAGAATAAGAGTGTGACTCCCACACGTCCTATGAAATCTTAGCAACCGGTCCTTCTATTGAACGGGAGTCACACGAATACCCGTTGACTGGGGGGCAAACACTAATGGAGAGCAAACATAGCAATCACCTTCCAACAGAAATGCACACTCATTGATACGGGTCACAACGACAGCCGAATGCATCCAAGTGCCATGTCTTCTTTGATACTCCTATGTTTTTTTATCAAGAACCTCCCCCACAGATCCCCACAGCCAGACGAGTCTCCCTGTCACGATGGCTGGTGGAAGAACTAGTAAGATTCCAGCGATGGCCAGAATCCTCCGTGACAAGAATAGATCCAACCTTGCGGCGGCATGAAAACATGGAACACATATGCAAAAACAAAGCTGAGAGGCAAAAACTGCTTGCGATCTCCAAACGCCATGTTCTCTGAACTTGAGGAGCGGTGAACATTTGACATACAGCCTTCTCTTTTCTGAGTGCTCTGGCCTTGCCAGAACCCAGGCGCAGGTAGTGAATATCACCACGCAACACAATGCCGGGAATGGAACATCGTTCTCCGCCACCAACGTTCCCAACATCATGTAACCTGCCAGGTGGGTCAAAAGGGTCAGGTGTGTCCGCCACTTCTGTATCATGTTGCTCACAATCTGGCATGCAAAACACAGCATCCATCGTCATACATCCAAGCGGCTCAAGGTGTGAAGCAACCTCAGGCTTCAAATATTTGTAAAATAGTCTAACAGGGGTAGTAGGCCGGAGGTAAAGGAGGCAGGTAATAGCTAGAGGTGGGTAGCCAGTAGTTAGGTAGCTACTACCTTGGACGCAGGGTGGCTCACGCTTCTTCAAGGAAGCTCCCCCAGCTGCACTGGCCCAAAGTCATTCAGCTTACGCGCCGGCACGCGCCGCGGCCTTGCCACCAGCTGACTGCGCTGGGGTGAGGTGTCCATAGAGCGGGCTCCCATCGGGGTGCGCAGTGCCATGGAGAACAAGGAGTTGATGAGAGAGGATGGTTCATGGTCGAAAGCTGGCTTTGTTGACTGGGCGACTATGGGTATGCCTGAGACCCTTGGCTCGACTATTCGAGGGGCGTTGATGGTTATTGCTGCCACAGGTGAATACTGTGGGGAAGACGAGGAATGGATCTTGTTTGGAAAGGTCACTGATGGGCTAGATGGGTCTCCTCCCTCAGTCATGGTGCGCCGAACCAACATGATGATGAACTTTGTTGACCCCGTGGATGACCGGTCGACCTTTGAGCTTTCTTGTGAAGTGGAGCACCCCAAAGTTGATCTTGCTGCTGGAGCCTGGGTTGGAGTGCAAGTTGATGCTTTGCGTCGTCCATCCCCGGGCGAACTTCGAGTGGATCAGACTCTGCTTCAGTGGAACCTTCCACTTCATCACCGAGGCATGCCATGGAATGTCACTCATTTGTTTCTGGTGCGTATGAAGGATGCATTATATCTCCTTCGTGTGGCTTCGTTAGTGTGGTGCTGATTTCCATTGGCTCATCAGGTGGGTTCCCATGTTGCCTCCGGTCGTGGGTTCTGCGAATATGTTGCTGGGCTGATCTTTTCAGTTTTTCCCTGGGTATTCCGTAGCGGGCATTCCTGCTCCACTGGGGTGGGTATGGGAACTCCTCTCACTATCGGTGGTGGCCTTTGGCCTTTTCTGCATAGCATGGGGTAAAACTTCCACTCCTCGTGAAGTCATGGTGTGGCGCCTCGCCTGGTTACAATGAGTTGGGAGATGTCCAACATCGAGCTTGTTGTGGCGGGGTTGGCTGCCCGATATTGGTTGTTCTACTGTCATCTGCGATGCCGTACTTCCACAATTTTGTGAAGAAGGGGGCCGCTCCGCAGATTTGCAGCAGTTCTCGAATTCAGAATGGTATTCAATATGGTAGATTCACTCCGCGCAATCCGATTGAGTGGTTTGAACCACTACTCTTGTGCCTGACTGTTTTATTTGTTGTTACTTTCTCTAGTCACTCTGTGGTTCACTGACCTTCGACGCGGAAGGTCGTTGGTTGCCGAAGACCTTGTCGAGCCGGCTTGAGAGTAAGGAAGCTCCCCCCGCCGCCTTGTTGAATTGAAGAAGCGCTCGGACATTTGGTTTCTAGATGTCTAGGGAAAATTAAGAGAACACCCGCTGGTGAGCAGGGATGGTGTCGCGCAGTGTCTCCCGCCAAGTGGCTGATTGGTCCCCATGGCCATGCACACACGTGCGTAGGCATCGTACGACTGCCAGTGGGCCTGAATCCTGCGAAAGTGCTTGATGTGTGGAAGGTGTACCTGGGCAGCACGGCACACAAACTGGCGCAATGAGTTGGCCCTTTGTCCTTATCAAAGCTTTACCGTAAAACACAATTTCGAAGCACATGAATTACCTGACTGAGAAGGGGGAACGAACGCCAGTTGAACCAGCATGCAGGCCGTGGTTGTACCACTAAGTAGGCTGTGGTGGGATACTTGCTGTTGAAAAGCTATAGGTCGAACCATGTTGATTTGTTGTTTACTGTTTCTGTCAGAGCTGGGGACAAGGAACTTTCGTCGAAGAGGTATGTCATGACACCGCGTTTGATTCCCATGAGAGGTCCGCTTGTTGTTTCTTTAAAGTGAAGTGACCGTTTCTATTCACCTTGCTGATGCATATGATTCCGATCCGATTGCAACTTTTCTACACCACCAGTCCCCAGTCCAAAATGGCACCATCCAGAAATCAAAACCACCTATACTTGAGGCCAAGGGGGGGGGCGAAAGCTAGCGCTCCAGAATGGGAAAGTGGAGGGCAGCGATGCAGGAAAAAACACGGCGCTCTTTTTGGAGGCAGTCGCACAGAGTAGCAGAAGGCAGGACGCCTTGCACAAGTTGGGCGGGGCAAACGATTCCAGGTGAAGAGTCCTTTATATGTGGCTCTTTGCCCGGATCCTCCTGCGAGAGAAGAGAGGGAAGAGAGACGGAAAGACGAGAGACAGAGAGGAGAGAGAGAGAGAGAGAGGAGAGAGAGATGAGAGAGAGAGGAGAAAGAGATGAGGGAGAGATGAGAGAGATGAGAGAGAGATGAGAGAGAGATGAGAGAGATGAGAGAGATGAGAGAGAGAGAGACAGGGAGAGTGAGAGTGAGAGTGAGAGTGAGAGTGAGAGTGAAAGTGAGAGTGAGAGTGAAAGTGAGCGAGTGCGGCCGCAAGATACGCAACGCTAACCGCATGCCAAAGAGCGACGACAGGAGTCGAACTTGCGAAGAGGGAGGAGGGAGGGAGGGAGGAAGACAAGGAGGAGGAGAAGGGGAGGTGGGGAGAGGAGAGGGGAGTTGGGGAGAGGGGAGGTGGGGAGAGGGGAGGTGGGGAGAGGGGGGGGGGGCTTCGACCTGAAAAATCAGGGGTTAGGATTTGCACCCGATCGAAAGAAACCTTGCTATCGCAAGAGTAACTCCAGCTAGCTTCGCTAGCTTTCGTGACAAGTTGTATATAAGTTTTGAGAGTTTAGTATTTAGATCAATTGATGCGGCGGTTTGCCCCCACACCCCCAAATAACTTACCTTGCTCGCAAAAACTAACTTCAGCCAAGGGATGCCAAGGGCCTACCCGCTGGCTTTCGTAGTAGTTGTAGCTTTTGCAACTCTATGCGGAAAGCAGGAAATGCGTGTAGAATCTGATCATAACCAAGAAATAGCTACTTGGAGTGGTTTTTGAGCAGGCATGAAGGCACACCAACAAATGGTCGCCATGTTACCACAGTAAAGTTCGCATCTCCTTCGGTCTCCTCACCATCTGAATTTGTGGCGGATTCACCAGATGCCGAGACCTCCGCAGATACCTCAAGGTGCTGTTAAAGGCAAAGGATGGTTGAAGTTGACGTATCTTGGACATTCTTGGATGTTCTCAGTGCCAACCAACAAGCATAATGTCAAAAATGTGGTTCTGTGATGTTGTGTACTTAAGGACTTGAGGAGAATGAATCGTGCCCAGCATGTCCTTTTGCCCACAGAATTGCAATTTGTCTTCCCACTAGCGCTCTACCAGCCAGTTCTTTGACAAAGCCTGCAGCATTGCAGGGGTCTGAACATTGGTCTGGCTGCAGAATCCTCCTCATCTGTTTTGTCCATTGCTTGCGTAAATCGCTGAATCTGTTGCTGCAGCACTGGCACACGGAACATCTCTTTAACCTGGCCAGGGGCTATGAAGCGAAAAGTAAATCTTGGACAAGTGAGATGTGATGCCTGAGAAACTAATTTAGATGCAATCAACCCCTTGTCCACAGTCACCTGCCTTGCACATGTCACACACCCCAAAAAACTGGCCTTGTTCCCCTCATACTGTAGCGCTTTGAAGCGGCTCTTGTCCAACGTGGCATCGTCAGGGATGGGCAAACGAACTACTTGAGTAAGCAGGCCTTGGTGGAAAAAACAAATCCCAACATGGAGTGCACCCGCTGGATTGGAGTGCCGTAGCGGATTGCTGGGGCATTGCTCAAGCCAAAAGGTTTCACTCCGCAAACGCACTGGCACTTCTTGCTTTATGTCGTGAATTGGACTCATGCGCATCATGCCTCTAAGAGAAGGACGCACGCCAAAAGCATGGGCGGCAACAGATGCATGCATCGCCAACCAAATGCTTAAGATGTAGTACCTTAGTACCAAAGAGGACCGACAGTCCTTTTTGTATACGGCTTCTAAAATAATCTATTAGATACCTCCTTGAATCTAACTTGCACATCGCACCTCTTTATGCTCCCTGCATGCCAAGGTGCAGAAACGCACCAGCATTGCAAATGGCAAAAAGGTGGATCAGCCAAAGAGGCAACCCAATGTCCTGCACCCACCAATGGCCAAACAGCGGGGCAAGAATGGCAACCAAAACGGCAACTTTAAAGTTGCAAATCTGAAGCTCTTAAACAAGATTGCCAAAAAAACGGGACAAATCCAGTGCTTCGATTAGGGCCCGGACTGGTTTGGGGCGGCCCTCCACATAGAGAGTCATGCAAAAGCCCAACTGCAGGGTGCTAACGACCAAGTAGTTGTCCTGGTCTGTGGTGATGCTAGTTTCAATGGAGTCTTTTGCCATGTTTGACAAGCGATCTCATTGAGAATACCAACTGACATGATATGTGGCCGAGTAGAACAATGAAAATGCCGCCTCTTGTCCCTTCAATTCAATACAATAAAACCAAACTTGTGGACCTGTGCAGTTTTTTGCAAATGTCTTGGTATGGCTTAGTAGTCTGCTGACTCAGGTTGCCATTCAAAGATGCTCTCGGCACTCGGACAATTGTTTTCATTGAGTTCTTCCTGCCCTAGTTGTCCTAGCTTAACTTGCATCGAGTCGCCATCTTTCGCACAGTCAGCTGGACCAGATCTCGGATATCCTCACCTCAACCAAATGGTTAAGCCATTTGCCAGTTTGACTCGAAGGTACTGCAAGTTCAACCCTTACCTTATTAGCACATCTTTGAACAGGTGTGTGAGAGAGTTTGCTCGACTGTGACACTTCGACTAATGAAAACCATATAATTATTGATATATATATATATATTATATTAATATATTGGTTATGAGACTGATTGAGTTGGACGTTGGTCCACCCCAATGTGAAGCTTCATGGTCGACTGCTGCCTTTGCCAGGCCACGGTAAAGCTCTGCTCGTTTCACACGCATTTTCTGCCCTTGGTAATCTCGCTTGATGAGGAGCTCCTTGCAACAAAAGCAAGGGCAGCGCATGCCCCAAAAACAAAGAAGTTTAGAACACGCAAGAAATGCAAGTGTCACGCTGGCTTCAACCATCAGTTTGCACATTTGGGCATCCATCCATCGCATGCCCATCCTTGTCAAACATGTAGTTCTCCCTGTTGTAGGAGAAAAGCTCTCCACCTCCCCATGCTGCTGCAGCAGCACCCGCTAGCAGCTCCATGGCTTAAATTGCTGTCAGCGCACGTGGTGCACACACAGGCTTCAACGGATCTGACTTGACAAGCTTATGAAGTGATAAGTCAGACTCACTCACTTACCATTCTTGTCGATGCACCAACCTTGCCAAGTCGTGCTATATTCACTTTGCCAGTGTCCAATCACATCTGCCGAACCTTGATCTAGAGAAACAAAGGGACCAAAAGCTGCTGTGTTGAACTGGAGGCTGGGAGGCTTAACAAGTGTAACATCCTCTGCTGACCGTTTCCTGTATCACGTCCACTATGCTCTACACATCTCTACTATATGCACTTTTGATGCTTGAACATGAGCCATTTGGTGGGCAGGCCGCCGCACGCATATCTGCGTGGGCACGGTCCTGTCACATCACTCCTCCAGTGGGGAAGCAGACTGCCAGGCACCCTTGCACAACATTCCCTGGTATATAAATGCAACAATGCAACAACTTTTCTCATGATAACTTGCCAACATATGCAAACACATGTAAGCAAACAGCGAACATGTCAATCTGTTCCTGGAAGCACCCGCCAATTCAGGTGCAATTTCTGAGAGCCCCACATCCGCTCGAAGGGCGAAGTCCCAGGCAGCATTGGTGCGAGCTGCGGTGGAGGCAAGTTTGGCGGTGCAGGTGCTGGCGGCTTTGCAGCCCCGCCACCATAAAGGAGGTCCTGGTGCAGTGCCAACACTAGAATGAGTATGTGTGCCAATAGGCGTGCAGCTTCTCTGTTCCGGAACCGTTTATGGGCTGGGGTGATTCAATGTAGAATGTAGACAGCCAATTGAGTGTGGTCAGGATTCTGACAAAGATTCGGTCACACAATCCCACGACCCTGTGACAAATGAGTCTGTCTCAAGAATAGTGGAGGCGTCAAATCTGACTATATAGTTCGCCTTTTGCCTGTGGTCCTGCCTGACATTGAAGGAAACAGGCATGTTACATGTTCTTGAACCTTACACCGAGGATCTCTCCTTGAGATCTGGATCCAGCTTCTCGGCTTCAGGAGGTGGCTTTGGAGCCTGGCGAAGACTGAGCTTTGAGGCACCTTCAGTGCCAAAAAAAAAGACACTAATTATTATGTGGTGAATTCCCATTCAACAGTTTCGCGTTCGCCGTTTCGTGCTCCTAGTAGCGATGCCAGGAGCCCCTAGTAGCTTCTTGCTCCCAGTAGAATTATGTTTGATTCCCATTTCCATTGCCCGCAAATTGCAACAGTAGTTATATAAGTCCAAGGGCTCTTCGATATGGATTGCAAATCACTTGCGGACATGCGGATGCTCATTGTTGTGTGCGTGTGCCTTGAAGTCCCACTTGTATCAATACGTGATGCCGTTGGCAATTCATCCTAATGTGATCTGATCTTAGGAGCAAGGACGCTACTACTATGTGTTTGGTCACAGTCATGGTTTGTTGGTTTGGTCACGGTGCCTCCGTTGGAGGGACCCAGGCGCCTGGACTCCCTGAGCGTTACAAATACAATCCGGAATCAAAACAGAACCGTGAAGCTTAATTCATCTTGATTCTGTCCACTCTACATTTCACTATCAATCATATCCGCTTGATTCTGATCAGGCCCCCTGTATTGGCCCCAACCAACTCAGAAGATTCAACTGAACCCATGGCCTGTAGGTGGCACCCAGCTGCCTGGTGTCACCTGACGGGACATTCTGTCCGACAATGTGGAAGTGGCATGTGGTTGGGCCTCTTCGGTGGGACTCCGATGTTTCTTAAAGCTTCATATTTTCAGAAGACCTTCGGCAGTCACCAGTTTTTGACCCCAAATCACATAAACGTGTCACAAGGGCCGAAGTGGTCACTGTAGTTTGCGTTCGCGATGGCATTGTGAAGCATCCCCGCTGGCAGCTCTGACCAATGTTTTAGCGCTAAGAGTAGCCCTAAGCCTTCACCAAGAAATCCTTCACTTCAAAAAGCGATGCAAGCTCCTAGCAAGATCAGCCCCTGTTATATCAATTGCCATGAACTTCTAGCTTGCTTTTGAGGTTTCCACAATCTTCCAAGTATCTTCAATATTGTAAAGGAAATAGAGTCTAGAGATTAAATAAGAGATAGAAGATGAATTAAATTCCTATGAATAGATTAGAAAACAGCAACATATTAAACAAATAATGGAATGTCATTCATATAAGTGAAAACTATTTAATATTTTGCATCTTATCTTAATCTCTTTATCTTTAGGGCAGTTCATCACGGCCAAAGCACATGCTGCATTTGGCGAAATTGTTCGATTGTTTCAGATTCATCACACACATTGACCTTCAAAGCGCATGTGCGCCCCGTCCATCAAAGCTCCCGGCATACTGGTGGCTCCAGGGTGACCAAACGGGCTTCGGTTGTTGCCACCAGCCTGGCGGCCTTGGAAAACCAAGCAAATTCACTACATTGAAAAAAAGTGTGCAAGTCGTTGCTGGTGGCAGGATGTGCAGGAAGCTCATCTTTCAAGCAAGCCACCAATTAATTTGTCGTTGGCTCTTACCACGCTGACATGCGACAAATGCGGCCTTTAGGTGTGACACCCATGCCTAACAAACCAATGTCTAACCCCTGGCCCCCAATCAATACTAACTTTCATGCTCTTGTGATAGAGACATGCACAACATTGCACAACGTAATTAAAGAGTTGGTCGCTATATAGGTCACGCCTGCTTTGCTGCACAATGGCTTCGTCAGAGGAGCACGAAGAATTCCCCTCATAGTCCTGCAAAAGGCGGCATAAGGTGCACTTGTTGTGTGCAAGTAATTGTTGTGGCAGCATTCAAATGTTTTCCGTATTCCGGGCATCTTTGGCCTACGTTGGACTGCTTGAAAGTTGTGTCCACAGGTTGCCTACAAATTTCGGACTGTTTCCCAAAGTTGCTGAGAACCAAAACGCCTCCAGGAATGGCCAAGAACCACCACTTCCTGGTTTTGGTCCTGACTGCGGCCTGAACAATAAAAGTCCGATGAATCATTCAAACCATATGATTTTGTATAAAGAAGCTTCACTTGTCCCCTATGCAGAAACATGATTAAAACCCGACATTGAAACTTGGATTGTTCTACATTGCTTTTTTCAATTCTCGATATGTTCATGTTATTCTCTTTATATCTTTCAATTTTTGTCTTAAGAAAACATGACAATTGCATAAGTCGAAAGGCTTGTGAGTGCTTCTGCTTGCAAAGAAATGGTCAGCCAGTCTTCAGCCAGCCTTGATCCATTTTGGGCCTCGGCACATTCTACCCACTTTGCTTCTTCATGCTTTGTGTCATAGCCTAGCCTCATGGGATATCTTGTGCTCTTAGCTGGAACCACTACTTAGCTAATGTCTTAGCAAACTCAGAAGCACCCTGCCTGAGTCGGCTTCTTGTGCGCATCCAAATCGAAGCGACCTCATAGTAAAGGGGCAATCAACCATTAGCTAAGCTTGCATCGTCCACCTTACCGTCATTTCACTCAAGGCCGGTGAGGCAACACATCATCGCGCAAAGCATTGCTGTTTTAATGCTGCTACTTTGTTGTGTGTCCCTGCTGCTTGCAATTAAGGAACCAGAGCTGCGCTTGTTCCGGGTCTTCGCTGGGCGCTTAACTTCAAAATGTGCACTGTACAAGGGTACCTATACAACGCCTGGTTCGCCAAATGTGCCTTAAATGTGCCTTCGTGAACGCCTTGGCAACTCTATTTTTTGATGATCTCAATGAGGTTGAGCTCGACAACAAGGTTCACAGAGGTTCAATCTTTATAACATGCAGTCCATCAACCCGAACCAATCACGAAATCCATCTCTTTCAGTGCATAGTTGGCGGCTAAGGTCGATCTCTGGAGCCACGCCATACTTTCGACCTCGCTTCGCAAAAGGACGCCTCCCCGGCCACGTTTTGGTCAACTTATTGACATGTTGTTATAGGCTTTAAATTTCTTAATATGTCTTAATAATATTAGCATAAGGGGACTGCAAGCAATGAGCACAGCATATCTATATACAATTCATAGCGTTATCATGCATTTCTATGCATTAAAAGCAGGATGCTCTGCGAATCATGGGGCTCTGCATGACTCCGCTGCCTCATCAAAAACTCATTCCACATGCTTGAGATTCAGGCATGCTTTCCGGTACACCTGACAGGTGCGGACAATATATCTGGGCCCATCTAGCTCATAGTACCAATGCGCGATGCCAGCAAACGTTCAACGTGAATGTGTCATCGCTTTGCGGCTTGGGGCAAGTGGGGGCTCTCATTATACATGTGCAGCGGCATTTTTATATTTGGCATTATTTGGTACTAAACTCAAATACACTATCCATTATGTGGGGACCCTATCTCGTTTAGACTACTTAAGTAAAGTAGGAGGTCATGTCACAGTATCACATATTCAATCTACTTTAGCAGCAACTCACACTATCTCGTTCAGACTACTTTAGTGTCATCAAGCAAACGCATCTCGTTTATGTGGGGGCCCTATCTCGTTCACAAGCGAATACTGATGATAGACAAGCACATAGAGCATGCCATAGACTACTTTGGTAAAGCCTAAATAGAAGTGGTTGCTCGTATATATACTGTATATATAATTATATATATGTATGATTATATACGTCAATGTGTGATACATATCTGAGAATCATTGTGCTTTCTGACCGTTCTCGGACATAACATATATTTTATGCTATGATAAGGAGGAATGAACGCCGAATGACCCATCACCTTGTAGAGGTGGCATCTACCTTCAGTCTATATACTCATTCCCTTCGCTTCCACCATAAAATACATTAAAATACCACAAGATACTCCACCTTCTCATCACAAAACCCATACAGGTGCCATCTGCGGATAAACCTTCAGCTGGGTGAAACTGTCACGCGTCACGCATCTGTACGGATGGAGAGGACGCTCATGCAGATCATGCAGGAACACGCAAGTTTCTACTGGATGCTGACCAGCTATTACTATCCTTTACGACCCTTTGTGTTGTCGGACATGCTTGACAGCAAACATCACCGCTGTGACACCTTCCTTGAACATGCACT